CCAACTCAGGGTCATGCAACTCCACCTGTGACAGAGCTGGAAGTCTTTGAGGGGGTAAATCTGGTGTGAGTATCGCAGAACTAGATGCCGAATTCTCCACAGATAACCCTGATGGAGTTGGCTCAATTTGACTAAATGAGGAGTCAAACAGAATCCCAACAGAATGGACTGACGGGCCTAATTGCGTATCAAGGGGACGATTACTCTCTGAGTAAGGCAGTCGATTTCTAAAAGCTTCTGATATATAGTTAGTGGACTCTTCAAAAGAGAGTAAGTGGTATTCAGGGAGCAGTGCAGCATCAACAACTGGCATCTGTGATTCCGTTGGAGCTTTAGAAAAGAAAGGAAGTGTCAACGCGGGTGCTGAGTCGACCCTTGTCACCACAAAGCCTCTTTGAAGGTTCGAGGAATGAGAAGGAGATGACAACACAGGAGGCCGAACATGAGCAGATTCAACAACACCGTCTGTTTCTGAAGGCCTTCGTTCGGCCAGCCGGGAAGAGGAGGGCAGGAAGAGGGAGGGCTGAAGAGGAAGAGTGCTGGACCAGAGGGGAGGAGAGGATGGGAGAGGAACGAAGGTATTAGAAAAGTAATGGGGAAGTATGGTCGGAATTTGTAAAGTAACAGGAAAGACAGGAGCTGATAGAGTGATGGCGTAAGAGGAGGTGAAGGAGGCAGATCTTGTCAAAAAGGAAGGAGACGGAGAAGAGGGGGTGAGAGTTAGGGGGGTAGATGAAGAGTAGCATTGGATGTCAAGAGGGAATGCAAAAGTATTAGAAGAAGAGGTTGAGGGTGTATGGTGAACAACATGCACAGATGAATGTAGCTGTGTAGACATGTCTGTAAATACATTGTTCATCAGTCCACTTCTGGCCACTGCAAGTTCAACATCCACCCCGGTCTTGTCTGTTTCATTCACACTGTCAAAGGGGTTTGAAGAAGAAGAGGAAGAAGATATCTGGACTATGTCTTCCGTCTGTGGCATTGAAGAAAAAAAGATCTGTGTCGGGAAAATGTGTTGTGCGAGGAGAGCAGAGGAGCTTAGTTGTACCGTGGTCGGCTGAAGGGATGAAGGGAAGGGGATAAGGAGAGATGGTGTTGGTTGGAAAGTCGATGCGTCTAGTTTCTGAGTGACAATTTGGCTCTGCTTTTGTCCACTTGAACTTGTGTTGTTTGGGACACGGTGGTCGGTTTGAGCTTTTGTCAGAGTCGGTGTATCGATCTGAGTCCTGCTGATGAATGTAACAGTTTCTGAACCACTGTGAAAATGTTGACTTCCTCCCTCAGAAACAGTTACGGGCTGTGTGACAGGAGAAAAAGGCCCATGGGGGTCTGATCTGTCGAATGGTTGTTGGTTAACGGCTGGAGGGACGGTGGCGGGTTCATCCAAGGTGTAGGCAGCATCGAACTCATACACGCTGAAAGCACCGCCCTCCTCCGCCAGCTCTGATGAATCATACACTAACAAATCAGACCCTGACGAGTACTCATTGCCCAGTGGTTCCAGTGGCTCCAGTGGCTCAGTCCAGTTAACCGTGGCAACTGTTTGGTTTTCCCCACCGCTGACGCTCAGTAGCGACCACTGCGGCGCTACAGGTTTGTTCTTTCTGTTGCTAAGAACGGATGATGACAGTGAAGATGATTCCTTTGTATCCGATGCTTCATCTCTACGCTGATAAGGAGATGGCGCCTGAGAAGAGATTGAAGCCGCTGCTTCAGGAAGGAGTTTTGAGTCTTGAGTAGTTGTAGACGTCTCCTTATTGGAAATGTTTGTTCGTGAAGTAGGTTGGGTCGTATCCATCGGATATCCCAAGATGTGTGTTGCATTTCTCCCCCCAGGTGCATGTGTGTACCCAGCTGTGTGTTTAAATCCACCTGTTTGAGTTGTGTATGTAGGCCTGGATGTGTATTTGAGTTCGGGTGGCTGTGCAGGTTTGGTGATGTGAACCACTGGCCTGGGCGCTGTACTGGTGGAAACTGGGCGTCTTCCTCCAGTCGGCCTCTTCCTCCCCTTCCAGATCAAAGGGGTAGAGATGAACCCCAGGGAGGTCTTGGAGCTGCGATGGCCTCTGGGTCTGGGGAGGGAGGTTGGAGGTCTCGGACGAGAGGGTTCAGGTGGAGCTTGGGGACCTGGGGCTGGAGCCAAGAGTCTGGGTTGAAGTGCTTTATCTGGGAGGCTAGGGGCTTGGGTTGGAGGAGCCGACTGACGGGATACAAGGGACCCACCATGATAGGCTTTCCCAAGGGGGTGGGGAATGAGAGCTGCCCTAGATTGTCTGATGATCGCTGGAGGTCTGGGTGCATGAGAAATAGAGGATCCAACAGCAGGTACTACAAAAGCATGGCGGCGTCTTCTTCTCAGAGGCTTGGACTGGGAGGCCGGGCTTTCAGGCTGCTGAGGAGTAACTACAGCAGCAGGAGCAGCACTAGCAGAGGCTTTGGTTGGAGATCTCACAGTAGACTCCTTCGCTGTCACCAGGGCACGGCACATCAAACCAGACAGCATTATGGTGAAAAAGCAGGTTACAGATAATAAATGAATGTATTTTCACACAACAAACAAATGGTATAAGCAGTGGTCTACACAGTGGAGGTTAAGAAGCAGCCGATAGGACCTGGACCTTGATTACAAATATGTTAATGATTTTCTTTTCTTATCAGTGAAAATGATCCTTGGAAAAAAGACAAAAAATACACCAATGTACCATGTGAGAGGAAACCAAACCAGATGAGGATTTGTTTGATGAGATTAGGTTGTTTTAAATTGTTAGAACCACAGCAGGGGAACAAAGAACCTGAAGAGAATCCAACTCAATCAGAGAGATATCATATCAAGGCCCTAGTGAGATTACATGTGATTCCATGTTTGTTCATAAACAGCAGCAGGAAATATCCAAACTCCTTAGTGAGAAAAGATTTATAGATGTGAAACATGGCAACGTTGAAAAAGAGAAACCTTTTCTGGATTAATAAAAGCTTAAACCCAAGATAGCAAAGACTTCTTTTTGAATGAGAAAACAAGTAGGAAGCATAAATAAATATCAGGAAACTAAGGCGGTTAAATGAGCATCTTACCCCAAGAGGAGGCAGCAGTAGCAGCTATGTTAGTGGCTGGTTGGTTAGTAGTTACTGACAACAGTGGAGGACTTGTTAATGGAACTGTTGGTGCAGACAAAACATCAGGATAGAAGAGGAGGGAGGAGGCCAGAGGACAGAACAAGATGGCATGATTGCTTTTTTAGGACCTTTTCACACCTCATTTGGTCTGAACCAAAATTACAGGCGTGACACCAAACCTTAGACCGCGGTCCGGACCAAAGACCGAACCTTGGTCCGCCGAAACAAGAGGTGGTCTCGGTCTGGACCGAACTGAACCATGGTCTGGTTGGTTTTAACTTTGGATGGTTCAGACTTTCAGACCAGTTACAGTAAATCCTGTCAGGATGTCGTCATGTGATAAGAGAAGTGGTGATGCTCTGGGGAACGGCTCAGTGCAAAGAGCATCAGGGAGAAAGTGAAGGTGTGAAAAGGCCCTGAGTGGGTGTTGTGCATCTAGATGATACTAAGACTGTTTTAAATCATCAGCAGAATAAAAAGTGGCTGAATGAAATTATAACATATATAACATGTTCTTAATCACAATTTCTAGGATTAACACAACATCAACAGACAGACAGACTTCATGAAAGAAAGATTCAAAGCTAAATAAATACAAGTGAAAGAAATGATTGTGTCATAAGTGTCTTCGGCATCAGAATAGATGAAATAGGCTCAAATGTTAGAAGTATTATGAGAATGTATGAGGAAATGTCATTGTTACAATTAGCTGTTTAATTTAATATCTGGTCAACCTTTAATTGTAAGGCCTTCAATAAACAAATGTGTCAAATATTCTCTCATAACATTTTCTATGCACTTTCACATTTAATGACAATTAAATGTGAAATTTAAGTCAATATATTAAACAACAATGAAAAATACAATTAGTAACATCCCAGTTCCAAGCATTTATTGAGCATATTATCGGTCCAACATCTGGTTATGGCATCTGAATACCCGTGCTTATAACCCAGCCAATAAGATGAAGTTGTTTCAAATAATAATAAGTGCTTTAATATTCTTGGAGAATAAGCAACAGCTCCTGTTAAGTGTGTTAAATGTCTAACATCAGGACTGAGGTTTCATGTTCATAAGATCAAAGGGTCCAGCTGTAACCATAACCCTCTAACCATGTTATATATATATATATATATATATATATATATATAAATAAACTGAATTTAATTAAATTTCCTTGAGTTCTAAATGACCTCTCTTACTACTCTGATTTATTGCTGTTTGACTTTGTAAGGACTGTGTTTTTCTGCAGGCCTCTACAGTTACATTTGTACAGTTCTTTATTTATTCAGCTTGTAAGTGACAGAATTTAGTCACGCTGACCCTCAAAACCTCAACTGGTTCAGTGTGTTTTTATACCCGTCAGCGTTGCGTGCAGTCAGAGCAGCATTTGTACGTAACGCTAGTCGTCTTTTCTACGGCTTCACTCTGGTATTGTTGCTCTTACCATGCGTTGTTGGGTTAGTAGCTGGATGGTTAGTGGTAGCAGATGAAACAGCTGGCGTGCTGCTGGTTGTCTGCGGGGCTACAGGGAAAGTAAACAGTCACAGAATATCAGTCAGGTTAATAGATGTATGCCAAAAGTACAACATGCACTGATCTGTGAACAGGTGGTTGTATCAAACACCAGAAAGGAATGAGAACCTCTTTGATGTCATTTTGTTTTTGTTTTTGATCCAGATCTTTGGATTGTAAATGTGTATAATTGAATTAAATTTGAATTAATTTTGCAACAGCAACCTGTTAATCGTGCTACATTGTTGGGACAACAACTTTAAAAAAAATCAGCTACTTTGGGAGGATACCAATCTGTTAACAGCTACTGTACACTGTGCTGACAATAATCTGTTAAGAAAGCTATATTGT